ACCAACTTGGTCATGTTGGTAGGAAGACTTGGAGGAACGCACCCATTCCGGAGTCGATTGTATGCATCATAATTTCCAAAGTTGAACCGTGGACGTGGTACATTCCCAGACGTTTCGTCGGAATCGTCAATGAGTCTCGCCATTCCTTAGCACCAACACAACAACTCGTGTTCACTTGTCTCTTTGACGAGTTGTTGTATGTTAGTAAGAATGGCGATACTCACTGACGATGCCGGCAAAACGTCTGAGAATGTACCACGTCCACGGTTCAACTTTGGAAATTATGATGCCTACAATGGACTCCGGAATGGGTGCGTTCCTCTGAGTCTTTCTGCCAACATGACCGAGTTGCGAAAACAAGGTCAAACAACTTGTATAGAACGAAAGGAGACTGCGACCACACAAAATAGCCACACCATCTTGGTCTTCATACCTTCGATTGAATTATGGAAGTAATATTGCCAAACAATGCACTGATTACAGCCGGACAAAGAAGACAATTTTAATTCAATCCTGCCATTTAGCCTTTATGAATTGTTGCAAACATTTTGATATCGCTCCCCGATTCCGCAATTTAATGAGGAAGTGTCATTCGGACAGGGTGAATGAAATTCTTATCACGCTTCCATGCAGAAATTAGAGTAAAGTTACGAGATCGAAAGGCTTAAGCTATTTAAGTTCATAGATCTTAAGTCTAGATTAAGGAAGGATTTAGGTAGGGTTCTCGCTTTGGATGATTTCCAAAAATTCCAGAGAATGACCGACCAGAAGTCACAGAGGGTCCGGGATCTGATAAATAAGCGACATGACAAGAAACTGCTTATTAATGGGATAATAAGACAACGCAAGAACAAGCCAACTCGGGCAAATTGTGATGGTTCTCTATTGAAGGCATCAACTGTAACAGTCGACGATAGGACAAAGGTTGTAAACCTATCTTCAATTCCTCTTGATTGTGAAACTATGGATCTCTTAAAGAAGGGGTTACATTTTTCACCAGATAATGAAGGAAATGTTCTTAGTGATATCCTGGTGGAAGTTGTCAACAGAAGATACAAGGCGGGAGATGGAACTCCAAATAATCCCACATATCCTGACACATCAAGAACCGATAAAATGGAGCAGATTGGCTGGTATTCGGAAAAAATTACAAATAAATGATCAAATAGTTCTTCAGGCCGATAAGGGAAGAGCGACGGTTGTAATGGACAGGAAACATTACACAAAGAAAAGGGAAAGCATCCTTGACGAACGGAATACTTATCGAATACTAAGGTAGGATCCAACCACTAAGATCAACGGGATACTGAAGAATATGCTCAAGGAAATGCATACAAATGGGGAAAT